TGATTCAGTGTAGGAAGCAGCCAGGAGTATGTAGGATTCAGTGTAGGAAGCAGCCAGGAGTATGTGGGATTCAGTGTAGGTAGCAGCCAAGAATGTGTGGGATTCAGTGTAGGAAGCAGCCAGGAGTATGTAGGATTCAGTGTAGGTAGTAGCCAGGAGTATGTAGGATTCAGTGTAGGTAGCAGCCAGGAGTATGTAGGATTCAGTGTAGGTAGCAGCCAGGAATGTGTGGGATTCAGTGTAGGTAGCAGCCAGGAGTATGTGGGATTCAGTGTAGGTAGCAGCCAGGAGTATGTAGGATTCAGTGTAGGTAGCAGCCAGGAATGTGTGTGATTCAGTGTAGGTAGCAGCCAGGAGTGTGTGTGATTCAGTGTAGGTAGCAGCCAGGAGTATGTAGGATTCAGTGTAGGAAGCAGCCAGGAGTATGTAGGATTCAGTGTAGGTAGCAGCCAGGAGTATGTAGGATTCAGTGTAGGTAGCAGCCAGGAATGTGTGTGATTCAGTGTAGGTAGCAGCCAGGAGTGTGTGTGATTCAGTGTAGGAAGCAGCCAGGAGTGTGTGTGATTCAGTGTAGGAAGCAGCCAGGAGTATGTGGGATTCAGTGTAGGTAGCAGCCAGGAGTATGTAGGATTCAGTGTAGGAAGCAGCCAGGAGTGTGTGTGATTCAGTGTAGGTAGCAGCCAGGAGTATGTGGGATTCAGTGTAGGTAGCAGCCAGGAGTGTGTGGGATTCAGTGTAGGAAGCAGCCAGGAGTATGTAGGATTCAGTGTAGGAAGCAGCCAGGAGTATGTAGGATTCAGTGTAGGTAGCAGCCAGGAGTATGTAGGATTCAGTGTAGGAAGTAGCCAGGAGTATGTGGGATTCAGTGTAGGTAGTAGCCAGGAGTATGTGTGATTCAGTGTAGGTAGCAGCCAGGAGTGTGTGTGATTCAGTGTAGGTAGTAGCCAGGAGTATGTGTGATTCAGTGTAGGTAGCAGCCAGGAGTATGTGGGATTCAGTGTAGGTAGTAGCCAGGAGTATGTGGGATTCAGTGTAGGTAGCAGCCAGGAGTGTGTGTGATTCAGTAAAGGTAGTAGCCAGGAGTATGTGGGATTCAGTGTAGGTAGTAGCCAGGAGTATGTGGGATTCAGTGTAGGTAGTAGCCAGGAGTATGTGGGATTCAGTGTAGGTAGTAGCCAGGAGTATGTGGGATTCAGTGTAGGTAGCAGTCAAGAATGTGTGGGATTCAGTGTAGGAAGCAGCCAGGAGTGTGTGTGATTCAGTGTAGGAAGCAGCCAGGAGTATGTGGGATTCAGTGTAGGTAGCAGCCAGGAGTATGTAGGATTCAGTGTAGGTAGCAGCCAGGAGTATGTGGGATTCAGTGTAGGTAGCAGCCAAGAATGTGTGTGATTCAGTTTAGGTAGCATCCAAGAATGTGTAGGATTCAGTGTAGGTAGCAGCCAGGAGTATGTGGGATTCAGTGTAGGAAGCAGCCTGGAGTATGTGGGATTCAGTGTAGGTAGCAGCCAGGAGTATGTAGGATTCAGTGTAGGTAGCAGCCAGGAGTATGTAGGATTCAGTGTAGGTAGCAGCCAGGAGTGTGTGTGATTCAGTGTAGGTAGCAGCCAAGAATGTGTGTGATTCAGTGTAGGTAGCAGCCAAGAATGTGTAGGATTCAGTGTAGGTAGCAGCCAGGAGTATGTGGGATTCAGTGTAGGTAGTAGCCAGGAGTGTGTGGGATTCAGTGTAGGTAGCAGCCAAGAATGTGTGTGATTCAGTGTAGGTAGCAGCCAAGAATGTGTAGGATTCAGTGTAGGTAGCAGCCAGGAGTATGTGGGATTCAGTGTAGGTAGCAGCCAGGAGTGTGTGTGATTCAGTGTAGGTAGCAGCCAGGAGTGTGTGTGATTCAGTGTAGGTAGCAGCCAGGAGTATGTAGGATTCAGTGTAGGAAGCAGCCAGGAGTATGTAGGATTCAGTGTAGGTAGTAGCCAGGAGTGTGTGGGATTCAGTGTAGGTAGCAGCCAGGAGTATGTGGGATTCAGTGTAGGTACCAGCCAAGAATGTGTGGGATTCAGTGTAGGAAGCAGCCAGGAGTGTGTGGGATTCAGTGTAGGTAGTAGCCAGGAGTATGTAGGATTCAGTGTAGGAAGCAGCCAGGAGTATGTAGGATTCAGTGTAGGTAGTAGCCAGGAGTGTGTGGGATTCAGTGTAGGTAGTAGCCAGGAGTATGTAGGATTCAGTGTAGGTAGCAGCCAGGAGTATGTGGGATTCAGTGTAGGTAGTAGCCAGGAGTGTGTGGGATTCAGTGTAGGTAGCAGCCAAGAATGTGTGTGATTCAGTGTAGGTAGCAGCCAAGAATGTGTAGGATTCAGTGTAGGTAGCAGCCAGGAGTATGTGGGATTCAGTGTAGGTAGTAGCCAGGAGTGTGTGTGATTCAGTGTAGGTAGCAGCCAGGAGTATGTGGGATTCAGTGTAGGTAGCAGCCAGGAGTATGTAGGATTCAGTGTAGGAAGCAGCCAGGAGTATGTAGGATTCAGTGTAGGTAGCAGCCAGGAGTATGTAGGATTCAGTGTAGGAAGCAGCCAGGAGTGTGTGTGATTCAGTGTAGGAAGCAGCCAGGAGTATGTAGGATTCAGTGTAGGAAGCAGCCAGGAGTATGTAGGATTCAGTGTAGGAAGCAGCCAGGAGTGTGTGTGATTCAGTGTAGGAAGCAGCCAGGAGTATGTAGGATTCAGTGTAGGAAGCAGCCAGGAGTATGTAGGATTCAGTGTAGGAAGCAGCCAGGAGTGTGTGTGATTCAGTGTAGGAAGCAGCCAGGAGTATGTAGGATTCAGTGTAGGTAGCAGCCAGGAGTATGTGGGATTCAGTGTAGGAAGCAGCCAGGAGTATGTAGGATTCAGTGTAGGTAGCAGCCAGGAGTATGTGGGATTCAGTGTAGGTAGCAGCCAGGAGTGTGTGGGATTCAGTGTAGGTAGCAGCCAAGAATGTGTGTGATTCAGTGTAGGTAGCAGCCAAGAATGTGTAGGATTCAGTGTAGGTAGCAGCCAGGAGTGTGTGTGATTCAGTGTAGGTAGCAGCCAGGAGTGTGTGTGATTCAGTGTAGGTAGCAGCCAGGAGTGTGTGTGATTCAGTGTAGGTAGCAGCCAGGAGTGTGTGTGATTCAGTGTAGGAAGCAGCCAGGAGTATGTAGGATTCAGTGTAGGAAGCAGCCAGGAGTATGTGGGATTCAGTGTAGGTAGCAGCCTGGAGTATGTAGGATTCAGTGTAGGAAGCAGCCAGGAGTGTGTGTGATTCAGTGTAGGAAGCAGCCAGGAGTGTGTGTGATTCAGTGTAGGTAGCAGCCAGGAGTGTGTGTGATTCAGTGTAGGTAGCAGCCAGGAGTATGTGGGATTCAGTGTAGGTAGCAGCCAGGAGTATGTGGGATTCAGTGTAGGAAGCAGCCAGGAGTATGTAGGATTCAGTGTAGGTAGCAGCCAGGAGTATGTGGGATTCAGTGTAGGTAGCAGCCAAGAATGTGTGGGATTCAGTGTAGGAAGCAGCCAGGAGTGTGTGGGATTCAGTGTAGGTAGTAGCCAGGAGTATGTAGGATTCAGTGTAGGTAGTAGCCAGGAGTATGTAGGATTCAGTGTAGGAAGCAGCCAGGAGTATGTAGGATTCAGTGTAGGAAGCAGCCAGGAGTATGTAGGATTCAGTGTAGGTAGCAGCCAGGAGTATGTAGGATTCAGTGTAGGAAGCAGCCAGGAGTGTGTGTGATTCAGTGTAGGAAGCAGCCAGGAGTATGTGGGATTCAGTGTAGGTAGCAGCCAGGAGTGTGTGTGATTCAGTGTAGGTAGTAGCCAGGAGTATGTGGGATTCAGTGTAGGTAGCAGCCAAGAATGTGTGGGATTCAGTGTAGGAAGTAGCCAGGAGTATGTGGGATTCAGTGTAGGTAGCAGCCAGGAGTGTGTGTGATTCAGTGTAGGAAGCAGCCAGGAGTATGTGGGATTCAGTGTAGGAAGCAGCCAGGAGTGTGTGTGATTCAGTGTAGGTAGTAGCCAGGAGTATGTGGGATTCAGTGTAGGTAGCAGCCAGGAGTATGTAGGATTCAGTGTAGGTAGTAGCCAGGAGTATGTGGGATTCAGTGTAGGTAGCAGCCAAGAATGTGTGGGATTCAGTGTAGGAAGCAGCCAGGAGTGTGTGGGATTCAGTGTAGGTAGTAGCCAGGAGTATGTAGGATTCAGTGTAGGAAGCAGCCAGGAGTATGTGGGATTCAGTGTAGGAAGCAGCCAGGAATGTGTGGGATTCAGTGTAGGTAGCAGCCAAGAATGTGTGGGATTCAGTGTAGGTAGCAGCCAAGAATGTGTGGGATTCAGTGTAGGAAGCAGCCAGGAATGTGTGGGATTCAGTGTAGGAAGCAGCCAGGAGTGTGTGGGATTCAGTGTAGGTAGTAGCCAGGAGTATGTAGGATTCAGTGTAGGAAGCAGCCAGGAGTATGTGGGATTCAGTGTAGGAAGCAGCCAGGAATGTGTGGGATTCAGTGTAGGTAGCAGCCAAGAATGTGTGGGATTCAGTGTAGGTAGCAGCCAAGAATGTGTGGGATTCAGTGTAGGAAGCAGCCTGGAGTGTGTGTGATTCAGTGTAGGAAGCAGCCAGGAGTATGTAGGATTCAGTGTAGGAAGCAGCCTGGAGTATGTGGGATTCAGTGTAGGTAGCAGCCAGGAGTATGTGGGATTCAGTGTAGGAAGCAGCCAGGAGTATGTGGGATTCAGTGTAGGTCACCGCCAGGAGTATGTAGGATTCAGTGTAGGTAGCAGCCTGGAGTATGTAGGATTCAGTGTAGGTAGCAGCCAGGAGTATGTAGGATTCAGTGTAGGTAGCAGCCTGGAGTATGTAGGATTCAGTGTAGGTAGCAGCCTGGAGTATGTAGGACTCAGTGTAGGTAGCAGCCTGGAGTGTGTTGGATTCAGTGTAGGTAGCAGCCAGGAGTATGTTGAACATTGTTATCTGAAATGTGAAGTTAACTGATTTGATGTATTTGAAAGCGGCGGAACTTGAAGAGAAAGAATCCCAGTATCGAGAGTGGACAAGACGATGCTCCCCATGGTCTGATGGACATCATCTGCTCTGTGAAGAAGAACACTCCTGTGAACCAGGACCAGCTGTACAAGGAGGCGTCCACCCTGCCCAGCACTGTGTCCAGCAGCACGCAGCAGGAACTCTTCGACAAGAGCAGTGATGAGTCCACGTATGGACATGACAACAAAATGGCGGACATCCAGGAAGATGAGGTATGCAGGAGTCGCTGTACATTGTACCAATACAAAACAAGAATATTTCATGCAATTAATGATTGAGGTCATTAATCAATAGTGAGGATTTTGAAAGGTTAAGATGAATGCTGTGCATCCTCTGTACTGGACTATGATGACCAACTTGCAGAATATGAAGTGGACATTGTGACCTAACTGTTAAGGAAGTTGTGGAAGTTAGCTTGAAAATGAGGCTCCTCACATACCTTGGCCACTGATAACAAAGATATATTTTGCTTTGGATCAAAATGCCTCAATAAGTTTGTCATATAGGTTGTGTTTATACACAAAATCATTCAATGTAAATTGTATACTAAACAGAATGTCTTTTGTCCCCAGAAATATGAAGAATCTATGCCAATGAAGTCACATGGTCACAGTCATCACACCATCAAACCCCTGGCCTGGATGATTATATTTGGTGATGGACTTCACAACTTCATTGACGGCCTGTCTATCGGAACCGCCTTCACCCAGAATACGCTCTCTGGCATCAGTGTGTCGCTAGCTGTCATGTGTGAGGAGCTGCCCCACGAACTTGGTCAGTGTAGCATGCACTCAACACATTGCTTACAAGTACTGGTGCAGCATGCACTCAACACACGGCTTACAAGTACAGGTGCAGCATGCACTCGACGACTTCCTTACAAGTACTAATGTAGCATGCACTCAACACATTGCTTACAAGTACTGGTGCAGCATGCACTCAACACATGGCTTACAAGTACTGGTGCAGCATGCACTAAACACATTGCTTACAAGTACTAATGTAGTATGCACTCAACACATTGCTTGCAAGTACTGGTGCAGCATGCACTGAACACACGGCTTACAAGTATTGGTGCAGCATGCACTGAACACATTGCTTACAAGTACTGGTGCAGCATGCACTCAACACACGGCTTACAAGTAGTGGTGCAGCATGCACTCAACACATGGCTTACAAGTACTGACGTAGCATGCACTCAACACACGGCTTACAAGTACTGGTGCAGCATGCACTGAACACATTGCTTACAAGTACTGGTGCAGCATGCACTAAACACACTGCTTACAAGTACTGGTGCAGCATGCACTGAACACATTGCTTACAAGTACTGGTGCAGCATGCACTGAACACACGGCTTACAAGTACTGGTGCAGTATGCACTCAACACATTGCTTACAAGTACTGGTGCAGCATGCACCGAACACATTGCTTACAAGTACTGGTGCAGCATGCACTGAACACATTGCTTACAAGTACTGGTGCAGCATGCACTGAACACACGCTTACAAGTACTGGTGCAGCATGCTCTCAACACACGGCTTACAAGTACTGGTGCAGCATGCACTGAACACATTGCTTACAAGTAGTGGTGCAGCATGCACTCAACACACGGCTTACAAGTACTTGAGACACTGCTTACAAGTACTGATGCAGCATGCAATGAACACCTTCCTTTCAAGTACTGATGTAGCATGCACTTGTCAGCAATCTCATTAAAATCAGATCTTATTTCACGCTATCGCAAAACAAAGATCTGAGGACATCCCATTACGGGTCACGTCAGAACGACATTCATCCGACCAATCGTGATGGTTGGAATGTGTTTTCTAATCATGCAACCTAGAAAACGTTAACACGGGGTATTATTCCCAAGTTGCTCTTACTGATTGCCCTCCATGACATTGTTGTAGGTGACTTCGCCATCCTGCTCAACTGTGGCATGACTGTGAAGAAGGCCCTGATGTACAACTTCCTGTCTGCCTGCATGTGCTACCTGGGGCTGGGGATCGGCATCCTGCTCGGGGAGAACTCCTCCAGTCATGACTGGGTGTTTGCTGTGGCAGGGGGGATGTTCCTCTACATATCACTGGCAGACATGGTGAGTCAGTCTACAACAAGCTTGCTAACTGATAGCTTGACTTGATAATAATAATAATAATAATAATAATAATAATAATAATAATAATAATATTGCTAATGCTCCCTGGAGAGTTACAACCCAAGCTGCCTGTGAGGCGCTAGAAGGTTAACAGCCACATTGCCATCACATCCTACTGGGTACCCATTCACTGCTTGGTGAACAGAGGCACATTTCGAACAAAGTCACTTAGCCTAAGGAGACTCTACATGTGCTACATGTGTTTCAGTGTGGGGCAGGACCGAAGCCCTAGAGACTCTCAGATAGAGTCATGTCAATCTCATGTTCCTGAAACAGATTTATTAGATGTTTAGGAATGTACTTACAGGAAGTATTCAAAGCTTTTATATAACTCTCATTAATTAAATGTTGAAATGGACCCGTGAAGATCCGCAGTAGAATCTTCTTCAGCAACCCACGCTTGCCATAAAAGGCGACTATGCTTGTCATAAGAGGCGACTAGCGGGATCGGGTGTTCAGTCTCGCTGACTTGGTTGATGCATGTCATCGATCCCAATTGCGTAGATCGATGCTCATGATATAATTCACTGGAATTTCTGGTCCAGACTTGATTATTTACAGACCGCCGTCATATAGCTGGAATATTGCTTAGTGCGGCGTTCAACAACAAACCAACCAACCAACCATGCTGAAATGAGGCTGTTGACACAGTTTATGAAAACATAATTCATACAGCTCTCAAAAGAACAAGACAATTTATTGTCTGTAATTTATTTGCTTTGTTTCTTGCTAAATCTTCATCATACAGAGACATCAGGTCCTAATCGGTCCACCCTTGTGTTATGATCATAGGTGTGTAGTCACTCACTGTAACTTGGTCTATTGTCTTCTTACTTTGATTCCAAGTGTGTTTTTGCATGATGCTGTGAGTGTGTGTTTGTGTTGCAGATGCCGGAGATGAACAGTGCGTCGGAAGGGGAAGGCAGTCGCAGATACGGCACTGGCCAGATATTCTTCCTCCAGAATCTAGGCTTGATATCAGGGTTCGGCATCATGGTTATACTGGCTATATATGGAAGTGAAATTAGCCTTATATGATTCGAGATAGTCGCCAACAATACCAATAGAATAGTTAGACATATAACTCAGGTGCTAGTTAACGAGTGTCTTACACTGATGAAGAATACATGCTGCATTTTATTGTAGTACTGATGTCACATGAGTACCTGTATGTGCATGTTACTGGAGTGAATGTGTACCTGTATGTGCATGTTACTGGAGTGAATGTGTACCTGTATGTGCATGTTACTGGAGTGAATGTGTACCTGTATGTGCATGTTACTGGAGTGAATGTGTACCTGTATGTGCATGTTACTGGAGTGAATGTGTACCTGTATGTGCATGTTACTGGAGTGAATGTGTACCTGTATGTGCATGTTACTGGAGTGAATGTGTACCTGTATGTGCATGTTACTGGAGTGAATGTGTACCTGTATGTGCATGTTACTGGAGTGAATGTGTACCTGTATGTGCATGTTACTGGAGTGAATGTGTACCTGTATGTGCATGTTACTGGAGTGAATGTGATCCTGTGGTGAGGAAGCTGGTTGGTGTGTGGATTATTGTGAGAGGTTCATGTCTTGTTGCATGGACTGCTGGTACGTGTTTCCAGTTGGACTGAGGAGTGTGTAAGTAAGTCTCAGGGTTAACACAAGCAGTTGTCTTTGAAGAACAATTAGATTCTGAACATTCATTCTAATCTTAGAGTCAATCTTTCTTAATCAAATGAATTTCAGTCTTGACCAAAAAGACTTAAATTAGTTAAGAATACTTGTGTGACATCGTCAGCTTGTTGATGGAGGTAACCTGTTTGTACATGTGGTCTTATGGTATTGATCTCTGATTTGAAGGGCTGTGGTTCGAATTCAAAGATTGGATTCTTTACATTTTGTGGCAGCTGAGTCCAGTATTGGGCTGAACATATTCCTGTTGTATACGGGGGAAATTAGCAACACTACCTTTCCATGTTGCCTTCAGATGTGGTTAACCTGTTCGGTCATGTGGAAAGAGAGTGTGTGATTCAAAGCCAAGCACAATACAACAAACCAACTTTGTGACAGATATTTACCAGGTACTACATATTTGTAAGACCGACTGTCTCATCCTGTATTCACATAGTATTATTTGAAATCCAATGAAGCCATAATTTGTAGCTCACCTGAACTGAAGGTTCCTGTCAGCATATGTTGTGGTATGTTATTCCTCATCTGCCATCAGTCCATCTGTCATACAAGTTTTAGTTTTTGAAGAGCTAAGTTTCATCAATTCATGTATCAATGTGGAATTGTAGTCAGTTGATGGCATTATGTTTACACGTGTAGATACCTGCTTGGCCAGAATATGGATGTGTTATGATTCAGCAGACTGGACTCAACTTGAAACATGCTCCTTAAGCTAATGCTTACAAGTTAGGGACAACTCTCAGGACTACTGTCATAGGCATCACTGGATCAAAATGTCCAAACAGTGTTGCTTATCCAATGTCATTATTCTGCAAAAATTCTAGGAAGCAAGGTGCTATGTTGCCATTTGTCTAAATTTGGACAAAATTATGTTTCGCGTCCATATGCCCAAATCAGGTTTTTGACTATATTAAATCATCACGTGTAGCGTTTATACATTCAATCAATATTTACCATGTTGTACACTGACACATTGTCTTGTACAGTAACACATTGTCTTGTACAGTGACATGTTGTCTTGTACAGTGACACATTGTCTTGTACAGTGACATGTTGTCTTGTACAGTAACACATTGTCTTGTACACTGACATATTGTCTTGTACAGTGACACATTGTCTTGTACACTGACATATTGTCTTGTACAGTAACACATTGTCTTGTACACTGACACATTGTCTTGTACAGTAACACATTGTCTTGTACACTGACATATTGTCTTGTACACTGACACATTGTCTTGTACACTGACACATTGTCTTGTACAGTAACACATTGTCTTGTACAGTTACACATTGTCTTGTACACTGACACATTGTCTTGTACAGTAACACATTGTCTTGTACACTGACACATTGTCTTGTACACTGACACATTGTCTTGTACACTGACACATTGTCTTGTACAGTAACACATTGTCTTGTACACTGACACATTGTCTTGTACAGTAACACATTGTCTTGTACACTGACACATTGTCTTGTACACTGACACATTGTCTTGTACAGTAACACATTGTCTTGTACAGTAACACATTTTCTTGTACAGTGACAACTTCTCTTGTACACTGACACATTGTCTTGTACAGTAACACATTGTCTTGTACACTGACACATTGTCTTGTACACTGACACATTGTCTTGTACAGTAACACATTGTCTTGTACACTGACACATTGTCTTGTACAGTGACATATTGTCTTGTACACTGACACATTGTCTTGTTCACTGACACATTGTCTTGTACACTGACATATTGTCTTGTACAGTTACACATTGTCTTGTACAGTTACACATTGTCTTCTACAGTGACACATTGTCTTGTACAGTAACACATTGTCTTGTACACTGACACCTTGTCTTGTACACTGACACCTTGTCTTGTACACTGACACTTTGCCTTGTACACTGACACCTTGCCTTGTACACTGACACCTTGTCTTGTACACTGACACATTGTCTTGTACACTGACACCTTGTCTTGTACACTGACACCTTGTCTTGTACACTGACACTTTGTCTTGTACACTGACACTTGTTGTTACCCTGTCTGGCGCTCGGCATAAAGGGGCTGAAACAAGGACTGGTCAGCTTGGAGTCAGTATACTGTGTCTGAGTAGGGTATTCATGTTAAACTGTGGCATGGTATCTCAGTGGGCTAGCACTATAAATCGGCATCAGTCCGGACTAGTACAAGCAGCCACAAAAACACACACATGTACATGCACGTCGCTATTTAAGTGCATTAATCTTGGATGCGATGTTAAACCCCATTTCACTTCACCTCACCTCTTGTACACTGACACATTGTCTTGTACACTGACACATTGTCTTGTTCACTGACACATTGTCTTGTTCACTGACACATTGTCTTGTATAGTGACACATTGTGTTCTACACTGAAACATTGTATTGTTCACTGACACATTGTCTTGTACACTGACACATTGTCTTGTACACTGACACATTGTCTTGTACACTGACACATTGTCTTGTTCACTGACACATTGTCTTGTTCACTGACACATTGTCTTGTTCACTGACACATTGTCTTGTATAATGACACATTGTGTTCTACACTGACACATTGTCTTGTTCACTGACACATTGTCTTGTATAGTGACACATTGTGTTCTACACTGAAACATTGTCTTGTTCACTGACACATTGTCTTGTACAGTAACACATTGTCATGTACATTGACACATTGTCTTGTACACACATTACCTTGTACACTGACACATTGTCGTGTACAGTGACACATTGTTGTGTACAGTGACACATTGTGTTCTACACTGACACTTTGTCTTGTACGGGGCCACGGGTGGCCCAGTCGTCTAAGGCGCCGCGATTTGCTGTGCAGAGTTGCGTCCCTTGGGCACGCCAGAAACCTATGATTGTGGGTTCGAATCCTGGTTCGCCCCAATTGTGTTTCTAGGTTTGTCAGCACCATACCCGTGCTTGTGGGTTTCACCAAAGTGGTAAATGTCTGAGACCTGCATTACTTCGGGCTTTCCTCCCACATTAAGCTGACACGCCGTGATATAACTGGAATACTGTTAAAAGCGGTGTTAAACCCAACTCACTCACTCACTCACTTTGTCTTGTACACTGACACATTGTGTTGTACACACATTACCTTGTACACTGACACATTGTCTAGTACACTGACACATTGTCTTGTACTCTGACAAAATGGTTAAGTACATATTTTTTCCAATAATGATGTATATATTTGTCCAACACGACTAGACACAGCTTGTGGGAGTGTCATTATCCAATAATGATGTGGGTATTCCTTTATTTTATGTAAACTGCATGTAGTCAAATAATCTTAATAGTTTTTATCGCACTGACATGAAACAGACTATTGCATTTAGTATGTTTAGCTTGTTAGTGATTGACCTGTTAATGACTGAAAGAGGTGGATGTGTCCTTGCACTGTGGTAGAAAACTTCCTACAGGTTCTGTGAGCAGTTTTTGAAATAAGCCGCTGCCAGTAGGCCCATGACAGGTAGATCTCGTCTCAGGGCACATAGTTTCAAATTTGAATGGGTCATTATAGCCTGCAGTAAATTTATGTGGTGATTTATAAGCTGTAGTCAGCTGCAATATTATTTACAATAAGCTGCTGTTTTTTAAATGAGGACCTGCAGAGTATAGTCCAAGCCTGCATCTCCTATCGTCTGTTTGTCCTGATGGCAACCTGGCAATTTATTTATTTCAAACACTGTCTGTGACTGAAGGGGCCAGTGGTTAAACACTTTCCACAGGTTCTGTGAGTGAATGCAGGTTTGAATCCTAATGTGAGGCTGGTCATTTTGTGACTACAATCATGTATTTATATGTCTGCCATGCTTGGATAAGTTATTATTTATGTATGTTGCCTTTCTTGTGTTTAATGTTTGCACACATATCACACTGGTGTGTCCCTTGGTGAGGTTCTTGGTCATCTTGTGTTTAATGTTTGCACACATATCACACTGGTGTGTCCCTTGGTGAGGTTCTTGGTCATCTTGTGTTTAATGTTTGCACACATATCACAATGGTGTGTCCCTTGGTGAGGTTCTTGGTCATCTTGTGTTTAATGTTTGCACACATATCACACTGGTGTGTCTCTTGGTGAGGTTCTTGGTCATCTTGTGTTTAATGTTTGCACACATATCACACTGGTGTGATTCTTGGTGAGGTTCTTGGTCATCGGTTTTGGTATTGCCATGAAACTGCTGCCAACAAGATCTGCCTTGGAGGAGACCCAGGAAGCAGACCAGGATATACAGTGATACAGCCCACCAGCCTGGTCACTGGGCCTCACTCACAGAGTGGTTAATTGGCTTGTTTTTCCTCCACTGCGCCTCATACAGGTGGCTGTTAACAACTGACTACACAGCAGATAAGATCTCAGTTTGTTTGTTTGTTTGTTTGTTGTTTAATGCAACACTCAGCAATATTCCAGCTATATGACAGTGGTCTGTAAATAATCAAGTCTGGACCAGACAATACAGTGATTGACATCATGAGCAT